TCCGAAACGTCGTGCTTTTGAATATCAGTCCAGAAACACAGTAATTTTAAATGTAGTACACGATCGATAGAACCCTTCAGAATCAATAAAAAATTGTTAAATATTATGCTGGACGCTGTCCACTGTCTAACGTATAGATATATTTCATATACGCGACGTTTCGATAGTTGTGCTGGTGGTCATTTTCTGTCAGAATTCTAATTACATATTTAGTTCTAGTGGCGAAGATTGGTATCGTTACTGAGACCCTTTTTGATACTAAAAGTCTATAGCTATTTCAGTATTAACGTATCATTAAAACTGTCACGGGTTCGACCCCAATAAACTCAGATAAAATCAACAAGAGTGAAGTGTGTACTGTTTGGAGTACACCGGCCTTCCTAAGACGTTCTTTACGGCGCCTCACTTAGATCGATGTGGCACAAATAAAATCCGAGATCATTGCTACGTCTTACGTCTTTCTTGCATAAATGTGATCGTAGGTCATTGGTGCGCAACAATGGGACCACTGTTGCGAAAAATGCGACAGACAGATACAGACGGACCCATAAAGTGTTCTTCGCTCCCGCTAGAATGTGGAAACATGAAAAGTGAAAAAGTAATGACAGTATAATGGCAACCAGACATCTGAAGGAAGCAGTCACCGCCCGAAACGACGAATAATTCTATATCGAACATACCATAGACAATGGAAAGTTTCTAACGAAAGATTCGTGTTTCGTATTCGAAAGGTTTACAGCGACATTTTTCATAAGACTCGCTACCCTCGCAAAGTTTCTTGTAATTTCTGCTAGCCACTGCTGACACAGGCTAAACCTTGAGGCAAACCTCGACCAATCACCCTTTACCCTGTCAAAATCTCTTACCATTTCTCATAAAACTCAGTCTAATCTGTGACATCAAACGAATGTAATAAACGTAGGTTATATTTTTCTGTATACATAGGTACAACATATTTTAATTAATACAATTAGCTTGTAATCAGTACGAACAGCACATGAAATTAAATACAGACGGCGAAATACAGTTTAATTTCAAACTATCATGTGTTCAATAAATTTCCTGCATCTTAAAGTTACTTGTTATAAAAGGTATAGATTCGTTTATCATGCAAGTATTTATGCTTCGATTTGTGTTTTAAGCGCTAAAATTTAAGACAGATCAAAGTCTTAATTTTACACATCCAGTACATTCTTGTCAACTGTAGGGTAGAAGTTATACGAAACTTGAAATATTCTTAACGTAATAGTCGAAGAAAGTGCACTGATGTCTCTGCTCTCAAATGTCGATTTGAACCTTAAGCACAGCCACTTGTGTGTTTACTTGAGATTCAATTGAGTGGAAGTGGCTAGTGGTCAAGAACCCATTACCATTCGTATTCCAGGAAGGTCGGCTGACGCTAGACGGCAGAATGCAGGCAACAAGGAACCAAGTAACAATCTGTTTGACGGGGACAAATGGAAATGTGTGGACAAGTGTGATCTACTAGGGTGATGGCGAGATGATGTTCAAGATACAAAGTGGTGGAAACAAGAGTGAACTATGGTTGTCCGTATACTGAGGCACATCTGGGGAAATAGATCTTTATTAAGCGTTATTTGCACGATGTGTAAGAACGAACGCACAAAGGAATTATGATGTCTGTATGTTCGTTGGTCCGTCAGTCAGTCTGTCTGTCTGTTCGCATGATTAAACTTGAAAATCGAAAGACAGATATGAATACAGTTTGGTATGGACGTTATGACATTAGGTTTTAACCTAAAATCTTAATAGAATTTTCTTACAATCGGTGTTATCAACATGGTGGACGAACATACTTCTGAGATAAGATCGACACCAGTGTCACTTGCAGCAGGACCAAAAAGTGATGCATGGTTTCCAATTTTCAGAAATAAAGGAGTGTTACACAAATTTTGTGTACAATGTAAAATAACATGACACAGCTGCATAAAAGAAAAATGTTATGAAGATTTCTGTCTTCTGGGTTGTTGCGCTGTGTAGACTGGTCGATGTTAACCAACGTTTCAGAGGTCATACTGCCTCCGTCATCAGGGCGATGAGTATGAAGATTTCTGTCTTCTGGGTTGTTGCGCTGTGTAGACTGGTCGATGTTAACCAACGTTTCAGAGGTCATACTGCCTCCGTCATCAGGGCGATGAGTATGAAGATTTCTGTCTTCTGGGTTGTTGCGCTGTGTAGACTGGTCGATGTTAACCAACGTTTCAGAGGTCATACTGCCTCCGTCATCAGGGCGATGAGTATGAAGATTTCTGTCTTCTGGGTTGTTGCGCTGTGTAGACTGGTCGATGTTAACCAACGTTTCAGAGGTCATACTGCCTCCGTCATCAGGGCGATGAGTATGAAGATTTCTGTCTTCTGGGTTGTTGCGCTGTGTAGACTGGTCGATGTTAACCAACGTTTCAGAGGTCATACTGCCTCCGTCATCAGAAATCTTCATAATCACCGCTGTGAAAACCTCAAATCTTACAAAAAATGTTATGATTTGACCGAAACTCAATTATATATCCCAAAGCATACGAAAATTTAAACATAAAAAATTACAATGGGGTAGCTAAATTTTAAATGCGTATCTTGCAAGTTACGTTGACTATTTAAAGTAAATAAAGTATTAAAGTTGTAATAGAGTTTGGTGGACAATATTCATCTGAATAGATTTGCCGTATGGGTATATCACATTAGAAGCGTACAGAAATCTTAATATGAACCAGCCAAAATGGACAGTCCTTGTTACGTTACCTTAAGGACGATAAGGAGTTTGGAGGCGTAATCAGAGAGGGCTTTTCGTAAGGTTTTAATTACAATGGAAGAATTTCCTTCCGAGTTCTAACGATTTGGCTTCTTTGGCAGGACTAATAAGAAATGGAGACACGGGTGATGAAGATGGTAAAATGTAATTTCCTGAGCGTTGGCGAGAATTTAACACAGTTTGCAGACCTGTAAAGAGAAATCGGAGAGGAAAAGTGACTGTTGTAATGGTTGATGCCACATTTCATTTCATCAGATTTTAAAACGACATTTCTACTCTTTCTATCTCGCAGCTTCATCGCGAACACCGTACGCCGTCTATTACTGAACTGTCTCAATGTCGCCACTCACACCCAACACAGTTTCATTTTCATTGAATTTCCTGGTCGTCGTAGTTCATTACTCAGATAAGCGACGACAGGTGGGAAGCGCCTCAATAATAAACCTTCTACTGGAACGGCTGTAAGAACGAACGCGGCCAAAGAAGAGGAATCACGATAAGTTTTAAAGTTCCCTGTCTCACTACTTGTCCTGAAGATTTGTCGTCGTCTTTAATCCAACTTCTCGGGGTTGAGTTTCTGCTCATTATTAAAGACAAGCTGACGTATTAGCCTAAATCATCCGTAATAAATATCTTTCCTATTGCAACGATGTTCATTTCATCGTAATATTTGCAGATTCTACAATACAACGTTCTATTAATATCTCTAAATATTAACATTCTGTCCAGCTTTACACGTATCACAAAAAATTTAGCAATTTTATGAGAACAAATTTTATTAATTTCCTAATAATATCTTCAAGCTATTGTAAAATATACTGCACACATTCATATTCGTGCACAATTATACAAAAACATGTGGATACCGGGGAGAGCAAGAGCTGCTACCAGCAATGAAACAGACCATCAGGCAGTCCGTAGATTTATATGCAGAGGTACGTATATAAAAAGCTTGATATAAGTTCATCCTGCAACAATATTGCAGTGTTAAATATAATTTCAAGTTACAGGACTTAAATTTACTATGTACAAAAGCATCTAATTTCCAGGACACATTTACGCTTGACGACATAACGCTAAAAAGAAGAGAAGCAACTTCCATAATTTGTACTTCTAATTAAATGTTACTTTGGTTACAAAATCAAGGACGAAGATATCTAGGGATGCAATATGATTATGTAATTGAAAAAAATGCATATAAATTTTTTGTCGGAAATTCTGACGGGAAGAGACTATATAGAGCACGTAGGACTGGGTGGAATGACAATATTTTAGCAGATACGATTCAGCTGCTTTAAGATAAGGCACAGTGGCAGAGTTTTTGAGATATTTTAGGTTCTCAAGGCTGGAAGTATGAAGACTGACAACGTTTAAGAGGTGCATGCTGCCACCGTCATCACAACGATGATTGCCCGGTGCAACATTCCAGAAGACAGTCATCTTTATGAACAATGAGGATCACAAGGGCGGAGATTTTCTGACCGATTAACTGGCTATCAGTTTTTAAAACTACTCTGCTATATGGAATTTGTTACAAAAGATTTTTATCGCATAGCATATAAAGCAAGCTTTAAGTAATGTAAGGGTTTATTGCGGCCATTTGAGTGATAGATGATATTTGTCGGCTTAGGTCAGTATGATTATTTTGATAAAGCAGAACCCAGCCATTTTGAGATTCTTATATTACACGAATTTTTCAAATAATTAAGGTGTCTTTGTTTTAACTGTTTCAGATGAACCTACAAAGTAGCTGTGACTTCACAATTTTACTCTTGCGATTATGCAAACAAGAGATGGAACTTTGGAGGACATTCTATAAAAATTCTACTCTTTATGCAAATATACTATTGAAATAAATTATTCACGTTAATAAAGTATAATAATATAATTTATTTATTTAAATTTATATCTATTTATTGTTCAGTTCAATACCATGACCTTTATGGTTCCATACGACAACCACATTTCTTATTTATGAACTTTATACGTCTTTTTAATAAATGAAAAATTCTGAAAATAACTTTCCATGCAATTATGTTGGTGACATCATTTAATACCTACATTCTGTAGCCGTCGATGTGTCAATTTTCAGGTTTAATGAAATGGATATTTCTTGAAAACGCCGAAAACAAAATAGGGTTCAATAGTAACACATTCTCAGAATGGTCTTTGAGATATGGGGAATGAACATGACGTCAATGAGCCTCAAAATGTGAGGTGTAATATTTCTTACCTGAGTGAGGTGCCACCGTTTGGATGCTTTGGCGATGGGGTCTGTCACTTGGGTACAGGCGGCCCCAAATAACATCACCTTGTGTGGAGCGATATGCATCATGTCGAAGAAAGCCTTCACACCCACCGCGGCGTTGCACTGCAACAGAGGACAGTGACTGGTCAGACGCAAAAATTTACTTTTAAATTCAACTAAAGACTCTTACCCACGTGAGATGTGAGTTTGGCACAGTGGTAAAAATGACGATGTTGGTCCTCTGGGTTGTGACGACATGTAGGCAGAGACGTATGTAGATACCTATGTTTCGAGAAAAACATTGTTTCCATCTTCAGCATGACAACCTAAAAACAACAAAATCATCAACTCGGCTAATCTCTGGGTTACATGGGATCCAAGTTACTCCGAAAAAATTTCACAGATTCGTACATTGTTCCAGGATATAAGACCCGAGAGATCCATTTGCTGGACACCTGCCGAGAATTTAAACTGCATTAAACTTAAGGCAGACAGAGAAAAATCTCAGTAAGTTAAGACATATTAATGCTTCAAGATCGAGGGCAATAAACCATTGATTTTATTTTTAATTGTGGTTAAAATATTAGTTACATTGTGAAAGTTGGCCAAAGCTACTTCCCAGGTTCCCATGTTTTGAAACGTCACAAACGACTATTCTTACTGAAAATTAACAAACAAATTCTTTATCAGGTATCATTAGAATTGTCCCCCGTGGACAAATTAGTGTCCAAGCCAGTAAAACCACTGTGAGAGTCGTATGTTACGACAGAACAGATGCCTTTGTCAGGTTGCTGTAAAGTTATATTAGCAAATGCCAGTGATATTTTAGACCATAAAATAATTTATATTTAGGTCTCTATTACAAACGTAGACGATAAATAACTGTATTAACTACTGAGGAATGAGTCTTCTAAACCACTAATAAAATTTTCTTTTAGGGTAGATCACAAACCCTCGGAATTACTGCGGTATAATTTTCCAGAATTTGTGGACAGTCTTTAGATTATTAACATGGACCACAGGTCAGATCTGCATAAATATATAAATGAAGTTAGACTTTTTGAATGGAATGGCATGCAGTCAGATTGACTTCAAGGAAACGTTATGAATACGTGAAAACACACCAAGCATTCACACATATAGTGTGTATCTGATAGATACATGAATCGAATTTACACAGACGTCGACTACGTTAACTGGTTTTTCTCAACAACACCAAGCACATTCCTGTATATTACTGTAAAACAGAAGGTTATAGAGTATCTACCACCATTAACTGAGAATTTGCATAACACATACTATAATTTCTCAGCCAAATGTTAGCAGTTGTCATACGTAATCCAAGAAGGGAATATTTGGCATCATTCTCGTAAGTGTTGTGGTATATTATGGGAAATCTGTATAAACAGTCTGTTAACATTAGGCACAGACGTTTCACATTAACAGTGCTTACCACAAAGGTTAGATCAGCACTAAGGTAACTGACTTGTATTCGATAAGTACCAAGTTTAAATCTCGGCCGATACATCTACCCTCTCACTTGCTTTATTTTTATAGTTTCCGCTAGCGTTTTAATGACAGTTTCTCGGAAATAATTCCAAATAGTCCACAACGGATTTCTCTTATGGTATTTTACAGCCTGCCGCTTACAGTTTTACCCTCGGCTCATTCGCCGTAAAATGTTTGCAGACAAATCAAATATACTGCTGACAGACAGGGGAGTATTTTTAATTTTGTGGTACTGATGTTTATGCGTCGTCGCTCCAGAATATATGAAGCTAGTTGTTGATGGTGTTGTACCTGACACATAGGAGCGAATTGACTGATGTGGCGAAATAAAATCAATGTTATACACGTGCATGACCTTTCCTTTCTCTCCGAGTATTATTACGCTGGTCCTACGGAATTTTGTTCTTTGTGAAGATTTCTGTCTTCTGGGTTGTTGCGCTGTGTAGTCCAGTAGATAGTTACCAGACTACACAGCGCAACAACCCAGAAGACAGAAATCTTCATACTCATCGCCCTGATGACGGAGGCAGTATGACCTCTGAAACGTTGGTAAACATCGACCAGACTACACAGCGCAACAACCCAGAAGACAAAAATCTTCATACTCACCGCTGTGAAAACCTCAATCGTACTTTATTCTTTGTATCTGAACTACCACATCATCAGAATATTAGGATAACACGATGGATCAAGTTTTGAACATTAGGGTAACACAATGCATGCATGGGTTTGCATTATTTAACTCTGTTTTTAACGATCTCTTTTCGAGCAGTAGAATGATGAGTGATGATCTACGACATCATTCTGAAGTCCTATTAATAACAGCGAATTAAATTTTTTATATGATACTGTGTCTAGGTTATCTATTGCACTGTATTTAAAAATTTAATTATGTTAACAAAAGTAGAAAAAATTCAAGAAATTCCTACGATTCGGAGCATCGCTCTGTCTCATTCTTTACGTAAAAGGTTACCTTCTCTGTGGGACCCATCAGATAAAACTAATAGGGTCCACTGACGAAGAATAGCTAACAGCCCGCCCTCGGAGAAAGCATCTTTCTGCTTTAAGACGGATATAGAAACAGGCCCTGAAATGTAGCAAGTTTTAGATCATCTTTGGTTTTTTATCTTTATATTGATGCACCTTTTAAATGTCTGAATAACAGACGACGAATAATGCCCAAACGAAGTAACATGATAATTAACTAAGATATATGTGAAGGAATCCAAGTACACTATTCCACTAATTTTTCTATGGTCTTAGAGGAACTACTAAGTTCTCATTCAGGATACTAGCCTTCAGGTCCGAATACTACATGTAAGTGCTAGCCACTATTAGCTCATTTCCTTTCTTAGAATTACTCAAAGGTGATATATAACTACGCAAGTAACCATGTTTGTAATCTTCTTTAACAAAGACTAGGGATAACTGCTAGATTTCTACACACATCTGTAATTCTCCCGAAATTACGAAAAATTTTAATTATTCAACATTATTCTTTGAATATATGAACGGTTTAAAGGGCACTGACATTACGTAATGCAGTAGTAGTGTACTCAAAAGACCTTGGGTTCAATAACGACCTTCGCCATTAATAAAAAACCGTCAGTATAATGACAATTAGTAACCTGAAGACAGGAGTAAACCAGCTTCCGCAACGTTGTGTATATCAATATATCTCAGATAATTTTCATGTCCGGCATGTGAAAATATAGCCTAATTAATAAAAAACAGTCGGTATTTTTTGTCATGTAAACGGCAACATGATCCTGGGATACTGGGAACGACCCGTTCTTCAAGTGCCTGAGCACTGCGGGTCCCAACTTTTTGTTGGCTTGATCTATAGACATTCGACAGGACTCCTTGGACGAGGGATCGGCCCGTCGCAAGGCCTACAACACAGAAAAACGCGGACAAATGTCCATGGCTTAAGTGGGATTCGAACCCACGGTCCCAGTGACCAAGCGGCACAAGGCCCACGCCTCAGACCGCGCGGCCACACAGCCCAAATAAAAATACTGATTGGTGGTTACAATTCGATTGGATTAAGAAACACAATATCAGAGTGATTACACAAGTTTCCACGCAGGTCACGTCATTTTGTAATCTTCTCGCCCCAGTCCGTCAGTTGCCAGCAGTCGAAGTGCTAGGATGTTTTTTTCACAGGAACATAGAGTGCTCCTTGTCGAACACTACCTGGTGTCTCCTTCTTACTTAACTTTTAAGAACGAGTCCAAGGATACATTACCCGATTACCTGTGCCGGATAGATCCACAATATTTCTTCTGGCGAACCGTTTACGTGACACAAAATTCGCGCAGGACAGAAAACGTTCCGTTGTATCAAACACGAAGAAAAGAGTGAAAGTTTGCGTCAGAGAACACGGTGGACATTTCCACACCTTACATTGTTTTTGTTTTCTGATTTTAGTGTAATTTATCTTTTGAAAAATAGAGAAAATATCAGGAATTGGTTGCCTGATTTTCAATCGCCCTCATTTTGCTTAACATTTTAAATTTTAGAAATTTTTCATAAAGGAAACTGTTTCCACTTTTGCGGTCTGACTGTAGCGAAGAGTCAATTAATAGCTGCAGATATCTCTCACGCAGGATAAACTTTATCCATTAACGATTATAACTCACGTTCGGACATCTTAGTAAGTTTTAACCGAACTCTACAGAACTTAAGTTATCGGCTTGTCTTGCAATTCCCATACAGAACGGGGTGAACACCGACGTACTTGATCTCAGAATTCTATACGAACTTGTTAAATTGGTTATAAGTCAGTTGTGTGAATTGTAAGATGCAACACGTCGACACAACAGGCAAGTACACAGAAAGAGACAAACAACAATTTCTAAGAACCGAAATGTCTCTTCTCGATCGGATTTCTACGCCCGATACCCCGACGTCTTCCCTCGGTCGTCTCTGTCTCCCACATCTCGCCTTTCTCCGATGATCTAATCGACACGCCGAATTAACTTCTCTGATTGTTTCTCTAGAGCACAGGACCGCACGGAGACATGAACACACAAGTCCAAACAAGCCAAGAAATAAAAAGGAAAAGAAGACGAAAAGGCAACAATCTTCCTAACTTCGCAAGAAGCCTCTTTCAGCTGAGACGAAAATCCGCTTGTTGCGCCAATATCTCGCTGGTTTCAGGAGTAACGGAGGAATGAAGTCAAGTGGACTATATTCGCTATTTACTTACTGGCGATCAAAGAGACCTCAAGGCAAACTCTTCGGTGAAGAGGAAGGAGCAACTCTCCGTACACCGTAGCACTCAGATTAATGACTACGATGCTATTTTAGTGTCGTCAGTGTTCTGTTGCAAAAATAAAAATAATTTGGGTTCCGGTAATTGTTCCTGCACATTTACGTGTTCCAAAAAGAGAAAATAAAGAGGCTGTCTTCAGAGTGTTGCGCCGTGCAGTCTGGTAGAAGTTCACCAACTTTTCAGAGGTCCTTGCTGCCTCCATCATCAGGATGTTGGTAAACTTCTACCGGACTACAAGGCGCTACAACCAAGAAGACAGTCATTTTCATACTCACCGCCGTGAGAACCTAAAATCCTACAAGGCAGAAGGTGAAAGAAGAGTGGAAACAATTACTTC